AATAATATGTACAGCATATTGATTTATCTTATGTATAAGGGAGCCGGGCGATACATGAAGACTCAAGAATTGAAGGACGTGTATGAAGCACTTAGGAAATATCCAAGTAGACTGAAACGATGTAAATTATGTTCGAGTGAGGGAGACCAAGACAGAAAAAAATGCCAGTCTCTTCCTATAAAGCACATTACCGTGGAAGGCCACACTGTAAGTTGGTGCACCGACGTGAGAGAGGTGAGGAAGACTGTCTCTGGAAAGCCGACCGAGAAATTGGTGTATACCTGTGGTGACCTCTTCGTTCGAAAAGAATATATAGAACACATCGATGGTAAGAACAATGAAAAACCTAAACGAAGACATACGTACTGTTTGATACCTACTTCCTAACTACCACAGACCTACCACAAGTAAAATCAGGTTCTTCATCGTCGAACGGATCAGGTCTAGTTGAAGATATCGGACACTGTGAAAAACTATCGTTTCGTACTGGAAACATGTATTTGAATATCTGATGTAAATAAAAATATTTTATGTTCAATATGATTTTGTTTCTTTACTGGAAAGCATGTTATTGATATAGATTTAGGGGATAATCTTACTGTACTTATCATTGTTATACCGTCGAAACTTATTTCGATTGACCAATCAAATGCCTTGTTACATCTCAAACGAATTAGAAATATTTGATATTGCCGTTATTCCTTCATTAATTGATATACCATATATTTATTTATTAGCATTGTAAATATAGTAAAATTAGATATAGGATAATGATATATAATAGTGAACTTGTTAATTCTGATATGAACTGCACATATCTGGGATTACTACTTTTCAAAAATAGTTAAAATGCTGCATTGTGTACGGGAACCAATGCAAAACAATCTGGGTTTTTTTCATAGTAGAAATCCTTGGATTACAAAGGAGGTTGTTGTGTGGTTGGATACAATGATATCCAGCACCTATAGGAAAGGTTGTCATCACGCTTCCATTTCTCATACCTACATCGGTGCTTATTGTATACGTGCTGACATACGATTTGAACATCAGGGCTGAATGTTCATAAGCTCAAATTATATAAATTTCTTTCTTTTGATTGTAAATTTATCTGTTGTAATTTCCGTTTTGTAATTGGTTTTCTCCGCATTTACATTTACTGGTAATAATAAAGGTATAAGTCATAGTCATCGCATTCCAGTTACTTTTTCTTGTTTCTTATTACGGCTGACTTGCCGTAAGGGCTTCACAAGTTTACATAAAAAAACTAAGGAAACCAGCCTCGAAACGTTCAACTTCGCTGTGCGTGGAAGCAAACCTAGGTTCCTTCGAGCAGCAAGTGGTGCGAAATCCCTTCAGCGATTAATGGCCGCCTTTATTTTATCGACTAGCTGCTTGGCCGACATCATGAAACCGTTCCCAAGCCCATGCATGGACTCTGTGCTGAAACCGACCTTCTTCTCACATGCTTTAATCAAGTGACAATGTCAAATATGGGGTCAACGCCTATGGAGATTTAACATTAGCGTCGGCCCCCGCTTTGAATTTAAAAACAAGATAACTACAAAAAGGTATGGGTATAGGAAGCTTAAATAAGGAACCGTTAGTTTCAGAATTCATTTTAGGATAAATGGGACCTCATTGACTTACACCTGTGTGGGTGTTAAAGGTGCGGTAACACAATTCTTCCTAGAGCATTTAAATAAAATAATTACTATAAAATTATATCATCATCGTGTGCAACATATTCAAACTTTCATTTTGATACCGAATATTACACTATTTGAAGAAAGAATGATTCTTTTTATTGAAGATTTAAGCAGAAAAGTGTGTGAAATTTCATTACTAATGAGAAAATTTCCATTTTCGACAAGTTAATTTGCATAGTTCTAAAACCAGTCTATATTTCATACTTGCTTAAAAGTTGGCTACCAATAATATCTTTCAACATCAGGAATCTCAAGAAAATTGACAACCGGTAAATTTGTCATATAACACTTTTGATTCAAAAAAAGAAATACATAACTTTCTTTCCATTTTTCCTTTAACTTGTGTTTCTTCATGACCAAAAGTCCTTTGGTCTTGATATTTGGCAAGTAGGTTGTTCATGTGAATTGATTTAAATTTTGTTAACGTTGATGACCTTGATCTTCGCTCAAGGTCACAAAAATCAAATGCGCTGAAATAATTTTTTGTTTGGGGAGTCCGACAAGGATACCTTTCCTTGCTTAATCTGTTTAGAGTTAACGTTATAAAATAATGCAATATTCCTCCATATTTTGTTTAATGAGTGGTAAATAAGCCAAATAAAATAATAACTAGAGCTGTAAACCAAAGACTAACCAATACCCCGACTCCTATATAACCCAGAATGTAATCTAAATGCTAACTAAGGCAAAGCATTGCAAAGCAATACAATACATAGTTCACCCCCCCCCCCCCCAGAAAAATATTCAAAAAAATATGTCACTGACATACTTCCTGTACTCCCTCCCCATGCCAAAACATACTTCCATATCATATCAAATCTTGTTAGCCCCGATGAACCAGTTTTGCTTAAGTCGTCCTAGTAGTTAAGGAAGAGTTGTCAAGACAAAGATTTTGAACAAAGGGCTATAACTCCTTAGAAAGGGTCGAAATGAAAAGAGTACGACATCAGGGGGTAATTACCATATCTGTAAACATTCATTGAAATCGGCCCAGTAGTTAATGAGGCAGACAAAGGTTCTTTTTCTACAAAGGGCCATTATTCCCTTTTAAAGGTCCGGAATGACACATACTATTTGGATGCACTATGTCAGGGAGCAGTTACCATATCTGTAAACTTTCGTTGAAATTGGCTGCATAGTTTTGGAGGAGTTGTCAGGACAAGTATTTTCAACAAAGGGCCATTACTCCGTTAAAAAGGGGTCATATTGAAAAACAATAATACCTGGATGCACACCATCAGGTGGAAGTTATTATATGTGAAAACTTTCGTTGAAATTGACCCCTTAGGTTTGGAGGACATGTCTGGACAAAAAAAATCATAAAAGGGCCATAACTCTGTAAATAAAGGATCAGAATGAAAACATAATACCTGTATGCATAATTTGAGGTGGTAGTTATCATATCTGGAAACTTTCGCTGAAATTAGTCCATAACTTTAGAAGGGGTTTTCCGGACAACCTTTTTTTCTACGGACAGACAGACAGACGAGCTGATTCCAGTATACCCCCTAACTTTGTTGCAGGGGGTATAATAAAGTGTATAATAGTTTTACTATTAAGATTATTTGATTATTTTTATATAATTGCATAACGTAGTCTGTAACACAATTTCAACCTTAAGTAGTTCTCCAGAAGAAAGATTACTTTGGCATAATACATTTTAATGAGTTATAACTGCTGCATATAACTTTAAAACATGCGTAATATAATAAAGTGTTTAGGTATGATACAAAAACAGAAAAAGGATCGGTTTTTACCATAATAAACATTGATAATCAAGTCTTCAGGATTTTGTGAAATTGGGCATTGATCATGTTTGGCATGCTAATAAAGTACTTTACCGGTTTTTATATTGCATAAAAATGATTCAGTAGACAAAATACATATATGGAAAGTTTTTAAAGAAGTTTAAAATATGGACTTCCACTGTAACTATATATAGGCAAGCTCACAATGTTGATTATATTTTAAATTTTGTGAAAATTTTGCATGTTTTTCTAAATAAAAGTATCACTAAGCTTACTGCATATTTACCAATATGACATATTTAGTATCAAAATAACAGTAATTTTATACACTGTACACTATCATTTTTCATGTTCAAAATAGCATTCGCCTGTGACATTTATCTATCATTTTGTTAGGGTACCCCCATCACTCAACCTGGTGTTATGCAAGGAGGTCCACTATGGTTTTCAGTAGTAATTATGAATAATCATTTATGCAGTTATTGATAATTTTTATGTATCTACATATGGCAAAAGAATAAAAGAAATCAAAGTGGGGGCCAAATGTTGACCCCACCTTTCACGTTTAAACATTGAAAACGTTGTTTAGTTTTAGGTCTTTCCACAAAATCATGTTTAAAAGTGAATTTTCATTATCACCGAAACAACATGAAATTCGATCTGAGCACACAATCTGAGTTTAAGCATGAGAACAAAGTTGTGATTACATTGTTGTACCTCCCTACCCACACATCCGAAGGCAAGGTATAAAGATATATTCTAGTTGTTTTACAGACAAGTTACCTGCCCTCATATTTTTGCCATGCATGTTTTCCCCCCTGACCGTAACTAAGGGTTTTTAAATCGAGGTAGGAACCAATCAACTTATGCCCATTAAAATGGCTTAATACATCTACATTTGGTTTGAATTCTAGAAGGGTAAGCGTCTTCTACCTCATCAACGACACGGAAACCCTTGAAAAGATCTAGAAGGGTAAGCGTCTTCTACCTCATCATCGTCATGGAAACCCCTGAAAAGTCTAGAAGGGTAAGCGTCTTCTACCTCATCAACGACACGGCAACCCCTGAAAAGATCTAGAAGGGTAAGCGTCTTCTAATTCATCAACGAACCGGAAACCCCTGAAAAGTTCTTGAAGGGTAAGCGTCTTCTACCTCATCATCGTCATGGAAACCCCTGAAAATTCTAGAAGGGTAAGCGTCTGCTACCTCATCAACGTCACGGAAACCCTTGAGAAGATCTAGAAGGGTAAGCGTCTTCTAATTCATCAACGAACCGGAAACCCCTGAAAAGTTCTTGAAGGGTAAGCGTCTTCTACCTCATCAACGTCATGGAAACCCCTGAAAAGATCTAGAAGGGTAAGCGTCTTCTACCTCATCAACGTCATGGAAACCACTGAAAAGATCTAGAAGGGTAAGCGTCTTCTAATTCATCAACGACACGGAAACCCCTGAAAAGTTCTTGAAGGGTAAGCGTCTTCTACCTCATCAACGACCCAAGAGATATAACTAAGCTTCACACATATATATATATATATGTATTCGCATTTTCTTCAAATAATGGTAATTTGAAAAGTAAACACGACAGGTCAATATAGTTTGACTATAATTGCTTGTTCTGTTTCACAGGAGTGATTTCTCTTCCCTTAGGCCGACTTGATGCTCATATTTGTTGGAGTGCTCTTCCTTCCCATAATTGCTGGAAACAATACGTCTTTGTTCTTGTCTAATGGATTTTATAATCGCTTTAGGTTGTGATGGACTGGCTACATTTTAACAACTGTACAGTCCAACAACATATTAAAGACAAGAGACTGAACAAAATAACAGGAACAAACAGTTGACGACAATATGCTGAAAGCGTATGTACTGTACACTTATACATATATATATATATGGTTTTACATAGTGTGAATAAATGTTAGCGTATTTGAATCGGGTTTTGATTTTATATTTTACACCTTTGTGTACATACGCTTCACTGGTCATTTGTCTGATAATTTTACGTAATAAAAGCTGGTACATATTTTACACCTTTGTGTACATACGCTTCACTGGTCATTTGTCTGATAATTGTACGTAATAAAAGCTGGTACGTATTTTACACCTTTGTGTACATACGCTTCGCTGGTCATTTGTCTGATAATTGTACGTAATAAAAGCGCGTACATTCTTTTTCACTTTGTGTACATACGCTTCACTGGTCGTTTGTCCGATGTAGTTGACAGGGTACGTACCGTACTAATCATTGAAATGTCACATATAAACACTTACTGGTTGTGATACATGACTTTCCTTCAATACATTCTGTGGTACTTTTGTACATTTTGAAATGAAATATCTGTTCCAGTGTTTTTCATCCTGAGTTTACAGTGCTGAATCCTTGAATTTGGTTTATATACGTTACACACGACTTCATTAATAAAGTAACATAAAAGTAAGCAAACCGAAACGTTCTCGTTGAAACGGTTATCATTAACTGTTGATAAGGTAAACTTTTGTAAACCTTCTACATAAAATGACACGCTTAACGGACCTTAAAACTGCAGGGCTTCCATATCTTCTATTCACAACGTCATCACATAAAAATCTTTAATAGCTTAGGTTCGACCACATGTTTGTATGATTTCAGCTTTGTATATTTCATTGAAGCTTAATTACATTAGTTTTTTTATGACGCAATTTTTTTTCATATTTTCGCCAGAGCTAAAGTTCAACGTCAGCCTTTTGTCTGACGTCAGCATTGTCCTCAGTTTCTATTTTTGTAATCTCGTTATCGTTATTGTTTGTTTCCTTTACCAAAGTTTCACCGCCATTTTGTTTTTTGCTGGGCCTAGCCTCCTTAACGTCACTTGGTCCTTTGGCGTTGTCATTATCTTTCCCTCCTACAGATGATCTCGGTGTGGCCTTGCTTAGGCCACCACTTGGTTTTTCGCTGACAATTCTGTTCCATCCGGAGCCACTTAACTTCCGGAGACCTAGCTGAGGTCGCGTCCCCTGGCGGTCTTCCTTGACGAAATCAAGTTGTCGTCTTGTGTAGATGGATAGACCAAGAGCAACGGCTGCCATGACAACGGCGACGGGGTGGAGGCTGTAGGCTGCTATGTCCCAGTAAGTGATACAAGTATCTCCGTTTGCGATTCCTGAAAGTGAAAGTAAATAAAATGACTTATTTCTTAAAATAGATCGTCTAGTCTTTCGAACTCTATACATTTTAACATAAACAATGAGCTATTCGACTGTGTGCATATAAGCCAGTCGCCACGTCCAGGTACTTTACCTTTTATTCACCCTGAAGTCACTTTTTTTCTTACAGTACCTGAACGGAAATGACACATCATGATGTAACTTACGTTTTAGTCATCCACGTGATGATATAACCGGGCATTGTGTATCACCTGTCTTATTCGCATGCGGTTTTATTTACATGGATATTGTTTTACTAACATTATTGTAGATTATCCGCATTGAGATATTATATGTATTGTGAGATAATCCACTTTTTATATTATCCGCAATGTGACACTATATGTATTGTGAGATTATCCACTTTTTATATTGTCCGCAATGTGACATTATATGTATTGTGAGATAATCCACTTTTTATATTATCTGCAATGTGACATTATGTGTATTGTGAGATTATCCACTTTTTATATTATCTGCAATGTGACATTATATGTATTGTGAGATTATCCACTTTTTATATTATCCGCAATGTGACATTATATGTATTGTGAGATTATCGACTTTTTATATTGTCCGCAATGTGACATTATCCACATCTAGATTCTATTTATATTGTGACATTTTTGAATTGTTGGTTCATTAGCTGATATTATACAAGGTAGTTAATGTATATATTGATCATTTTCCTTATTTTTAAAAGATCACACACTGCAGACCATAATGGGGATAGAATCACTTACCAGGCAGGTCTCCACATGCATCAGGTTGAGCACATGTCTCCGATTCGTACTGTTTGGAACGTTTGTCTGTAATAGAAAGGTGGTTTATAATGTAAGGTGGCATACCTCCATACACTGTGGTAGTAATTACTGTTGTAGGAATGATAAAAATGTCAAAACACACCCCTCCCTACACTTAAGTAGTAATTACTGTCATCAGAATTATAATACTGTTACAACACCCCTCCCTACACTTAAGTAGTAATTACTGTCATAAGAATTATAATACTGTTAAACCACACCCCTCCCTACACTTAAGTAGTAATTACTGTTATAAGAATTATAATACTGTTAAAACACACCCCTCCATACACTTAAGTAGTACTTACTGTCATAAGAATTATAATACTGTTAAAACAAACCCGTCCCTACATTTAAGTAGTAATTACTGTCACAAGAATTATGATACTGTTAAAACACACCCCTCCCTACACTTAAGTAGTATTACTGTCATAAGAATTATAATACTGTTAAAACAAACGCGTCCCTACATTTAAGTAGTAATTACTGTCATAAGAATTATAATACTGTTACAACACCCCTCCCTACACTTAAGTAGTAATTACTGTCATGAGAATTATAATACTGTTAAAACACACCCCTCCCTACACTTTAGTAGTAATTACTGTCATAAGTATTATAATACTGTTAAAACACACCCCTCCCTACACTCAAGTAGTAATTACTGTCATAAGAATTATAATACTGTTACAACACCCCTCCCTACACTTAAGTAGTAATTCCTGTCATAAGAATTATAATACTGTTAAAACACACCCCTCCATACACTTAAGTAGTACTTACTGTCATAAGAATTATAATACTGTTAAAACACACCCCTCCATACACTTAAGTAGTAATTACTGTCATAAGTATTATAATACTGTTAAAACACACCCCTCCCTACACTCAAGTAGTAATTACTGTCATAAGAATTATAATACTGCTAAAACAAACCCGTCCCTACATTTAAGTAGTAATTACTGTCACAAGAATTATGATACTGTTAAAACACACCCCTCCCTACACTTAAGTAGTATTACTGTCATAAGAATTATAATACTGTTAAAACAGACCCCTCCCTACACTTAAGTAGTAATTACTGTCATAAGTATATTACTGTTAAAACACACCCCTCCCTACACTTAAGTAGTAACTACTGTCATAAGTATATTACTGTTAAAACACACCCCTCCCTACACTTAAGTAGTAACTACTGTCATAAGTATATTACTGTTAAAACACACCCCTCCCTACACTTAAGTAGTAATTACTGTCATAAGAATTATAATACTGTTAAAACAAACCCGTCCCTACATTTAAGTAGTAATTACTGTCATAAGAATTATGATACTGTTAAAACACACCCCTCCCTACACTTAAGTAGTAATTACTGTCATAAGTATATTACTGTTAAAACACACCACTCCCTACACTTAAGTAGTAATTACTGTCATAAGTATTATAATACTGTTAATGTACACACCCCTCCCTACACTTAAGTAGTAATTACTGTCATAAGAATTATAATACTGTTAAAACACACCACTCCCTACACTTAAGTAGTAAATACTGTCATAAGAATTACAATACTGTTAAAACAAACCCGTCCCTACATTTAAGTAGTAATTACTGTCATAAGAATTATAATACTGTTAAAACACACCCCTCCCTACACTTAAGTAGTAATTACTGTCATAAGTATT